AACCCTAAGATTGCCAAAACCGACAATGGGACAGGCATGACTCCACCTAGATTGTGGTATTACTAACTATTGGGAAAACTTCCTCATGCCTCACCTGCCACCAGGGCTCTGTCCAATCTGTGGACACTCTTGAGTTAATTGCTCTACCTAGCCAGGTCAATGTAAGGTCAGTTTCCCAAGTATCTTCTCTATAGGAAAATCTCTCAGACCTGGATCTGGCAGTTGCTCTGTGAGGCAGCTGCAGATCAAATTCTTTTCTATATGAAAGCCAAAGAATAACCACTGCTCTCAACAAAGCCATAAAGATTTCGGTAGCCTAAGTCAACCATCTAGATAGTGGGTAAGTCTTAGTCATTGTAATTGACACATAGGCTTTTGGATTAAACTTCCTGATATAAGTATCTTTGTCAGATCTCTGATGGTATTGATGGGTATGCTAACACAGTTTGTCACTTTAGCAGCACCAAGAAATCAGCTGTTTCCCCCAAACCTTCAGCTACCTTGTTACTTCATTTCACATGTGCCTTCAGGCCTTGCTCTTTCTAGAGCTACTAGACATACACTTGAGAAGAGCAAATAGGTTTGTCTTGCCAACAGGCTTGATATTAAAGGTGACAAACAGGTTTCAGCTGTAACTTATACCATTTCTTAAAAGAACTTGCTTTGCAATGACTGCTCTTAGTAATAACTACTTGTGTCTCTGATAAATGGTTAAAATTGTTTTAAGTTTTATGTGAGTTCAGAGGGTCTAAGAAAGTGGTTTAATGAATGTAAATGAAAGTTTTAAAGGTATAAGAAAGTGATTTAGGAAAATAAAAGTTTCAGATTTACTCTCCATTATGCTATTGTTATACTAAGATTTCAAAAGTTTAGAGTTTTAACATTGACCAATGGAGTTCTGGTAAACTGGAAAATCACTGACTACTGTTGTTGAGAACTTCTGGTGACACTTCTAAAAATTTGGCATTTGTCACTGGACTCAGACAAGGAAGTAGGCTGAGATAAGAGTATTAGAAGCAGTGATCATGGGGCTCTGTTTACTGCTTTGCTTGGTTACTACCTTGTGTGATGTCTTTGCTTACTACTTTGCTTGATTACTATGTTGTGTGATTTCCTTGCATACTACTTTGCTTGATTACTTTGTTTTGTTCTGAGAACTGACCATGATTTTGGATGTACCTAAAATGATATGAAAGCAGACTGGGAAAAAATAAAGCTGCTTCGGCCTCAGCAGTGGCTGGAGTCATGTTATAATGTTTTCTAATTGTCTTTTTCTTTTCATTCCTCACTCCTTCCCTTGAGACCAGGTTGAATGAATGAGCTGGATGGGTCATGCTGTTATCAGTCACAAACTTAAGAGTTTAAAATTCCTCTGGTTATGTTCTGTAGCAGAATTTATCAGAACCATTGTACCTGGTATGAATCCTACAGTGAAGTCACCTAGTCTTTGAAAATAGATTTTTTTAGTGTCTGTTATCTGAGTTTTAAAAAATTATTTTATATATTTACATTCCAGCTGTTGCCCACACCCTAATACCTCCTCTGACACTTTATCATCTCATTTCTTCTCCCTATTTCCTTTGACAGGGTGCTCCTCCTGCTCCAGGCATTCCCCTGGGGCCTGAAGTCTCTGGAGGATTAGGTGCATCTTCTCTCGCTGAGGCCATTCCAGGCAGTCCTCTGCTTTATATGCGCTGGGGGTCTCAGACAAGCCCATGTACACTGCCTGTTGGGTGGCTCAATCTCTGGCAGCTCCTGGGGGTCTGGGTTAATTGAGACTCCTGTTATTCCTTTGGGTCCACTCTACCATCTAGTGTCTTTAGTCCTTCCTCTAATCAACCATAGGGGTTTCCAACTTCAGTTCACTGTTGGGTGTAAGAATCTTTGTCTGTCTCAGTCGACTGCTGGTAGAGTCTCTCAGAGGACAGCCATGCTAGGTCCCTATCTGTAAGCACATCATAACCTCAGTAATAGTGTCAAATCTTGGTCCCCCCAACCCCCATGAGATGGAGACTCTATAGAGCTATTCTTTTAAATGATTCTCACAGCCCTTGTATAAATTAGTCTTGAGCCGTGCCTGGCAAACCAGAAAGTCTGAGAATTGCTTAAGGTGATGGTTCTTTTAGGACAACAGCTAGATCAGACAAGAAGTTCTGATATGCAGAAATTGACATTCTGAAGATTACCTTTGGTGTAATATTAAAATGGCTCTGCAGAAAGGGTTTGGAGTTCAGTCTTTGAGAGGCTGATTCCTTGCCACTTGAGATGGCTAAACTCATCATGCAATGTCTCTCTTTCTTCAATCAACCTATCAATCAATCAATCATCCCACATAATGAAGAATAACAACAGTCTTCCAATCGTGGACTTAAAGGCACTTGTCATTGGGCTAAAAGAGTCTCAATCCATTTTATATATAGACAACTATCAGTAGAGAGAAAACTATGCTCATTCTTGGTAACCCAAAGTAATCATTTTAAAAATAACTAGAAGTCATGATTCTATCCAGCATTTTTATAGACAACTGTTTGGTGCTTTTGCTACAGTGTGGATTTTAGTACAGACAACAAACAGTAGTAATGCTAATATACCCAAAACTTCTCTTTTGTAAAGAAAAAAATTTAAATTTTAGTGAGTCCTCAGAATCTTAAGAATTGGATCAACCTCTTACAGATCAAATTTACTCCAGATAATTACAGCCTGTTTCCCCACCTTCCTATTCTTCAGGTTGTGATCTCTCCCTCATTGCCCACTTCTTTGAACTTCTCCTCTCCCAAAACTTTCAGAACTGTAAACCGAGGAGCCTGAAATGTAAGATTTTCCTTTAAGTTCATAAACTTTATCTTCCATCCTTAGTCAGTATCTGTCTAATCAGATTTCCACTTGACCTACACATCTATCCAGGAATCAGCCGTGGAGTACAAACTGTTTCAAATGGCTTTGAACCCTTAATTTGCTGAAAGCTGAGGTGAACCAGGCCAGCTAATGTGTTTACTCCCCATTTTTTCATCTGGATTATTGAACCAGGTGCTTTTGATGAATGTTCAATTGACTGAATCCCCTCCCATCCTTTGACTAGACTTCCAGTCATTCTGAGTCCTGGCAATTTCAGCAGCATGTAGCTACAGAAGAGAGTACATAACCTTCTATCCCTGAAATGCTGGCACATCAGTTCATAAGGAAACTCATTGACATAGGGGACAAAATTCCTCCCTTTGTTGCTTATTGGCATCCTGGGAAATGTGCCTGTTAAAGCAAATAAACCCAGATCTACCAACAATATTTTTACAATTTGGAAACTTGCAGGGTGAGGATTGTTGCCTCAAAGGCACCACTTTATTGCATTTTGCCTGAGGCTTATATTTAATCTTATATCTTTGAGAACAAGACTTTGCTGCAATATTAGAATTTTCTGGTTCTCTTTTCATACATAAACTTCATACTCAGTATCTCCTTTTCCTAGCTTTTTCACTTTCAAACGTTGTGTGGTCACTAATAATCACTGTTAGAGTAGAGGTAATTCTACTGGTCTCCTTTCATGGACAAAGCAATTGGTTGACCTGCCCCTGATGCAAGTATGCCAGGTACACCAGGTGTACCAGAAGCATGCTGAAGATAAAAATACCACCAGCTATACCAGCTTTGTTGTTTTGTGTTCCCTCTCTGTTCTTGCTGTGTGACCCGTATTCCCCCTAGTTATCCTCATGGCTCTCTTGCTGCTTCCTTCTATCTGTCTGCCTGTTTGTCTGTCTGCCTGTCTACCTGTCTGTCTGTATGCCTGCCTGTCTACACATCTACTTGTTTACTTCTATTCTTTCCCCAGGTCCTCAATTCCATCTCCTTTATCAATAAGTCTCTTTTGTATCAGATCTTTTGCATGGTGAATTTTGTTCAGGGGTACACTTTAGTAGCCTGCCAAAGATATCCACAGGCTCTATTATATTTCATAACAGCCATGCAATAGAATTAATGTCAAGCTGTCTTGAAATCTCTGCCAATGAAATTAGTCTAAAACCTTTGAATTTATCCTCGGGCATATTTCTAGAACAAAGACAAGGAGCAGGCATATTCTTTCCAAAATGTCACAAGAATGGTCACTATCCCAGGTGCTATTATTGTTGCTTGCTGTAACTATTGAGTTGGACCTTCATAGTCCACATTGCTGTCAGCACTGTTGTCTTCCAAGCTTAAATAGGAGCAAATATGAAGTGAAACTTATTAGACACTAAAATATAATGTTGTACCAATTTTGTACTCCAAAGTCCTCATATTTTCCGTATTTCTTAAAAAACCTGCAAAACCAGGCTAGTGACAGAAATATACCACCCTCTGCTACCAACTTTTGTCGTAGTTAATTCTCTATTCCTGTGAAAACACACTAGAAGAAAGACAACTTATAAAACAACATATTTAATTTAGGGCTTGCTTACAGTCTTCAGGCATGAGTCCACATTCTTCATAGAAAGGAGCTTGGCAACATAGTGGCAGGCAAAGCACTAGGATAATAATTAAGAGCTTATATCATTATAGGCAAGGTGGAGGCAAACAGAGAACAAAAGCTCATTAGGCATATCATTCATATTATAAACCTCTAATCATACCCCTAGTGACAAATGTCCTCCACCAAGGTAACATCTCTTAATCTCATCAACAATTTCTATCTACTGAGAATCAAGCATTCAAACATATGAGTCTGCAAGGGACATTCTTATTTGAAACAGCATGCAGTCTGTGTTTACCTTAACTAATTTAACTTTAATTCTTTTCCTTAACTCTCTTAACAAAGTTCAATATTAAACACAGCACACTGCATAAAAATAAAGTGGGTCACCTAGGAGCCTTGTAGATTGCATGTTTTGCAATGAATAATATGTTATAGTTTAACCTTTTATTTTCTGAGATTTGTAGATCAATGTCCATATTTGATCATGGAGCATTGTGTAAACAAAATAGCTTTAAAAATAAGTCTTTAACAAATTCCATTGCAGAAATAACAACAGCAGAAAAGTGCTTGGTGACTTTAAAAAGAGTAGGTAAAGAGAGAGATAAAAGATAATTATGGATGGCATGGACATTTTAAACCTCCATTATCTCACTAGAGGGTAATTGCCCTATGACAGCAATGCAGACATGAATGGGGACACATGAAGAACATCTCAGGATGTACATTATTTATGGTGTCTTTGTGAAATATAATTTTTAATGCTTTGTCCCAATATTTTTCTACAGTAAAGTAATTTTCTCCCTTTTGAGCTAGTTATTCAGCCTCAGTGGCCTTTCAGAAACTCCTGAATCAAGTTGGCAGCCTAGAGAAATTCCAGATCCTTCAAATAGCTTGTTTTTATCCTCAATTCAATTGTGATACCTAACACTATCTTGACGAATTTTACTGTAGCTGTTCCTAGTCATCACTGCTGGATACCCATCCTTGACAAGGACACTGTTCTAGACAATGACACTGAGATCCTGAGTCATGATGACCTCCTGATTATCTCCATCCCCTTGGATTCAAACCTGAGATTGGATAAGTGTCATTGTCTGGCCAGCAACAGTGGCATCTTCTTCATTTGAATGGCACTTTCACTACTGAGACAGAACCAGACACTGAACCCTATCTGGATGGCTTGGTTATGACAGAAGCAACTTCCTTTCCACCACTGTAACTGAGGTAAGTCTTTCCCCAACATGAATTCATGATGTGGCTTTACCAATAGCACAGATAGTGGATACTCATTTAGCACAGTCTTCAACTTTAGTCAGTATTATTTGTTGATATCTATATCTATATATATATAGATATATAGATATAGACATAGATATAGAGACACAAAAGTTCTGTGACTTTATAGAACTTTGACTAACATATTTTGTTGTGAAGCCTTAATGGAACAATTGGTAGTGTAATTTTACATAAAGCATTTCTTCCAAACAGGAAAATTTCTGAAGATAGAAAGCCTCCATGTGGTGGTATTTGTGCAAATAAAGTTGGAAAGGAATATGATTTGGACAGTTTGGTGACCTTCTTTGCAGGTGATATGAGTGAAGGGCATAAACAGCAATTTTTTTCTCCAAAACTATTAAATGTAGGAAGAACATGGCTACATAAAACATGTATTCAGAAGTGTTCACATCTCTTACTTGATATCTGGATCTCCTTACTTTTGTATTAAAAGAAAAAAGATTTAACAAATGCTACCACAGGGTCATCAGGATAGAGACATTTGATCAGAAATGACTCTAAGAAAAAATCTCTCTGTTAATACAGAGATATGAGTTTACATAGACAAGTACAAAATTCATCTTGCATACTCATCTGCCACATAATTTCATCACCCAACACATATATCACTATTGTTATGCAGCTGCTTCCATCGCGTAACTGAGAAGCAGGATCAGATTTACCCTGCTTGTACATCCAGATGTCAACAGTTGATTAGATGTGGTTAGGAATGAAATTTAGATGATATAATTAGCATACAAAATTTATCCTAGCAGATTCATTTAGAGAAAAGAATACATTATTAAATGATATTTTCTGTATGCTTACATGGAAGTTGGTATATATCTCTGGAAGCAGCCCTCATATTCTTGTTCAATTAGCCACACTACAAATGTATATCCAGGTAGAGGGAAATGGATCATTGTGGATCCAGGTTGCAGAAGTATAGTGCACTTTGTGGTTGAATCAGTCCCTACTTTTACTGAAGGTATTACACAACACAAGAATATAGAGATACATATATCAGAATATGTGGTAGGTATTCAACTAAAAAGCAAATATTTAAAAGGTTAATTTTGTTTTCTGCTTTTTTATTGTTTTTTGTTTTTGGTTGCTTGTTTGTTGTTTTCTAAGTTCATTAATTTAATGCATGAGTACTCTGCTACATATACATCTACAGGCCAGAAGAGAACTTCAGCTTCTTTTAAAGATGGCTGTGAGCCACCATGCGGTTGCTGGGAATTGAACTCAGGATCTCTGGAAGAGTAGCCAGTGTTCTTAACTGCTGGGGCTCCTCGCCAGCCTGATGGTTAAATTTTGAATGGAAAATGACAGCAAAAACTTGTTTCTACCTCCAACATCTTCCTTGACAGGCGGCTGTCAGAGTCAGCTTAGTGGCTGATTGTGACCAACAATACCCAGAAAGGCTTCAAGGAACTTAGAAAAGTTGCACACATAAATGGAATGAAGAATTCTGGAGACACCCTAACCATGGAGGTGAGCACAACGGGAATTGTTTCAGACGTAAAGAAGTAAAAGCTTGACATGTGTATGAGTTAGTGCCCAAGATGCACTATGCTCTAAGTACATAGGAGTTTTTTTCTTATGAGAATAAAAACACTGATATTTACATTCCTTTGTTTATTGTATTATTCTGAAGAGGATTTTATTGACAAAATATCATTTTAGTTGTATATGTGAAGTATATTAGAGTGCTTCATTCTGATATTTTAATATATGTAGATAATGTATATTTGATAATTTCCCCTTTATCCCTTCATTATCCTCATATTCACATACACAGTTTGAGAGAAACATAGAGATGATCATGGAATGGTGGAATGTGAATAAGTCTTCTCTCCCAAATCCTCAACTAATTTCTGATCTGTCTTCTCCTTCTCCTTCTCCTTCTCCTTCTCCTTCTCCTTCTCCTTCTCCTTCTCCTTCTCCTTCTCCTTCTCCTTCTCCTTCTCCTTCTCCTTCTCCTTCTCCTTCTCCTCCTCCTTTTCCTCCCCCTCCCCTCCCCCTCCTCCTCCTCCTCCTCTTCTTCTCCTACTCCTCCTCCTCCTTCTTTTTCTTCTTTGGACTATACTTCCACTTTCCCCCCCCATCTACCATTAATCACTCATCCTTCCTCAACATGATGGAATTTTATTATCTGAATTTGGATGGGTCTACTGCAGATAATAACAGCTATTGAAAGTTCAAGAGTGCAATGATCATGTCATGCCTAGAATACAGCATTACATATGACCCCATACAGTACTTCAGACTTTATATTCTGTCTAAACATTCTTTATTTATGGTCTGTGACCCTTGGAAATAGTACTGTAGATATCTAGTTGGGACCAACTAATTTACCAGTTGCCTCTTCTCAGAAGAATGATCAGTTATAGTTCTCTAGTAACTTCCTCAAGCAGTAAAAAGAACCTTTCTGACCAGAAAAGACAACAGCACTATTCTATGGACTTCAAAAAAATCGTTAAGCAGGCGAGTCACCTGGCACATAGTCTCCACATAGCTAAATAACTGTATTACCTCTACTACTAGGGCCCATAACATCCATATCCATGAAAACCTGAACAGGTATAAAGTATTATATGTGATTTTTTTCCTATAAAGCTGACCTAAAATCCAGGTATGAAGTAGTTACTTACATCCAAAATGGTTTTGACCATTGGGCCATTGACTATATCTTGTATGCATGTAATTATAAGGGCTTTACTAAGCCCATCCTAGTTCCTAAATGATGACTTGGAAATTTATCATTCATTTGAAAATGCCCATGCCATGAGTTAAGCTTGTCCCTCTACTGGCTTGAAGCTCCATTAACTCATATACTATTCTATGTCTACCACATGACTAGTGACCTTTCCTCTGTTTAGTATGTCTGACTTCCTACAAGTCTAGGGTAAATCTTCCCCATCAAACTCTATCTCAGAGTTCATCACTCTCTGCTAGATGTCCTACCTTCTAATCCTGCCTTAGTTTATAATTGGCCATAAGGATTTTATTTACAGGTAGTGCTTCCACACTCTACCCAAGAGATTATCATTGCATATACAGGTATATCTATGATCTGGAACTAGACTCCATTGTTCACTAAAGTGATATAGACTATTGTCTGGAAGCAGCCTGGAGAGAAAATTTCAGTGCCATGAAATTAGCCATAAAACAGTAAGATTCCAGGTTTATTCCAGGTTGGTTTTCTGTGTCCAGCAGCCAGAACTTGTACTGTATTCAGCAATTGGATATTACGTTCATTCTATTTGAAAACTACTTGTACATGTGTGATTACTAATACTGAATGTAAAGTATACAGAATACGTAATCAATGGCAGATGATTTGCCAGAGATGCCCACAGGGATTTATTTATATTAGTTAGTCTCTAGGAATGAGTAACTTAGGTAAATCTGATGAGTAAAATAAATCAGACTGAGCACCTTAAAGGAAGACAACATTATTCCCTGTGTTTTTATCCTTGAGTACATACTAAGATACAGCTGGCTGGGATAATATTCACTGCTTTCTGCTTCTTGAATGCATATAGTGCAACTAGCTGCCTTCTCAAGTTCCTTTCCTAAAATTACTATATACTTCATGTAGGTGTCAAAATGATCTTTTTCTGCCTCAAAAATTTTTTTTTAGGTAAGACTGTCTTATCACACCAGCAGAAATAATAACTAGCAAAAAAAAAGTGGCACGTAGGGTGATGTCTTTGTGATAATAAAGCTCATATGCACACTAAAGGCATTTGTACTCATTGTGGGAAGAACATGGAAGATATACACTGCGTAGTGAAAAGCCCTTGGATACTGTAAGTGTAGCTCAAGGAACCATGGCTCTTGGGTAATGAGAATGAAGAAAGAAGCACAGACATTTGGAGGTAGACGTCATGCATTTCAGAAGCCACAGGAACTCCAATTGGGTTGGGAGCCATTAGTACTAAATAAAACCAAGAACTTGTCATCATCCTTTTGAAATACAGAGACACTGAATCAAAATAAATGTGAAAATCATGAACTAACTTGTTTTGTGGAGTATATTTTATAATGTGTATGTATAGTGTTTGTAGTATCATCATTTGTGCTGCATTTATCCAGATATACAGTAGAAAGAAAACAAAAATGTAGAGAGAAAGATTTAAGAATGTCCAGTTTGTCAGAGGAGTAATCAAATAAGTAAAAGTTTGGTGCCAAGGCATTAGCTAAGAGTTTGCTTCAGCTACAGTGAGATATCATGCTCCTCACCAGACAGAAGGAAAACAGCTATGAGTGCAAAATTGGGTCACAAAATGATCCAACTTGTGAACATGCAGAAAACCTCTAAAAGGAAGAAGCTAGAACTAAGGTGTCAACTAATTCAGTTCATACGAAACCATGTACAAGGAAAAGAATAGAGCTGTGGTCCAAGAGGGCCAGATTACATTTTGAGAAGCTAAACAAATGTGATTGACTGACCACATAATAATAGGAAGCATGAAGTCCAGAGAGAGTGAATCAGTGAGTACTGATCCAGTTCTAAGAGCAATAGAAGTTTTACAATGTATGGCAGGGCTAGAGTCACTTACAGCGTTCCCTCAGAGTTCACTGCATAAATCTATGAAGTTGAATATCCTGTGTTTAATTGGAGACTGCAGGATGTTGTTGATGCCAAAATCATGGAATGTCTGTTGCAGAACATTGCATTCATGGAGTATAGCTGTCTCAAAACAAAAGTTA